GGCCAATCACAACGCACTGGATAGCTGGCCAATCAGAGCACACCTCGCTTTTTCAGACCGATGAGCTTTGTAAAAATCGACGCGTTTCAAAAAGGCGGGGCATAGAGGAGAAACAATAATGTACAGTATGTGGAAAATAATGTTGTTTTTTTTTTACTTTAAACCGCATAAACACATTTCATTACACCAAATACACAAAATAATGTTATTTTTAGCAGCATCATATGACCCCTTTAACAATGTTTTCAGGATTAAATCCCACTGTAGTAATGAATATCCACTTAAATACCATCTACATGCACAAAACCCCAGATACAAAGATGGACATGATGAGGTTGAAAATGACAGGTTGTGGCACTGATAAGCAGTACAACACAAAAAAGCAAACAAGGAGCGACTGATTGAGAAGAACGACTAATACAGAAACTTTATCTTGATTTTTTGTAGTAAATCCTGCAATGCAGCACCCACGTTAACAACCATGAGTCTTTGTGTATGGTAAATGAGGCCAGTGCAGCAGGGTGACCGCCTAACCGTGGCACACAAATGCTGTAATAGTGATTTTTTGAGCGTGCAGCTGTGCAGTGTGGGAGAGGACAGCAGTAAACTGCCGCAGTAAAACACCATGAACTCCAGTGAATGTGACTGAATGGCTCCTGAGGGGAGAGGAGGGGCTCGAACACACTTCCATCTGTTGGTTCCTTTCAGACTTCACTGCCCACAACTGACGCTAAATCCCAGGATGTGCCAGAGAACAGGATGAGACAAACTCCAACTGCCAGTCTGACTACTGATGAAGTGATAAAGTGTTTACAGCTGCAAAACCCACAGGTACGTCAGTGATTTTTTTTTTGATGAAAATCCTCCAACTGGATTTTTACTTTATCTGAAAAATGCACATAAATGGTGCATGCACTAGCGTTCAATATTTTGCATCAGGGACTTGTCACTTGTTCAAATCAATTTCCACAAGTATGAACAATAGTAATGCTTGACTTGTTCATCTCCACTAAAAATAAATACTAACATGAAATGCATTAATATTTCAGACTTATATGCATTCATTGGGTCACTAAACAGTTGCATTTGAGCGTCTGACATCTGACAGATATTAGCACCAGTTTTTTTTTTTATCTGAAAGCAGAAGCAGCTGGTCTCTCTTTACTCATCCGACAGACTACAAAGTGGGTTAATACCTCGACACATGTGGGTCTTTTAATTCTTTAGGCTGAAGTGCAGGAGCCGTCAGACATTGCACATGTACGTGAGAGATTTCATTTCAAAACTGGCTGAAGAGTACGAGCAAACAACTAACACCTGCTTTTACTCAAAGGTCCCATCCAGCGGAGTTCCCCTGCACCGGATCTCTCAAAACTCAAAGTTGCACTTTCACTTATTCAAGCTGGCACACCTAGTGTGTACTGGCATCGACATCAAACCTTGATGATTTTTAGATTATAACAACATAAATTTAGATCTGTTCCTCATGCAAAGCTCATTATATGACCCAGTCCACAAAGAACAGTGCAACTTCACCTAAAATCTCCTTTTGTGCTCCAAGGGTCTGAAACAGTATGTTAAATGGCACTTTTATGCAAAAACAATATTATAATTGACAATTTAACAAATTACCAAAATGATTTGTGATCAGGGTTGAAAATTTATATTGGCTTCAGGAATAAATGCCACCAAAATGAACAAAAATGCCCCCCAAATTGAAGACAAGGAGACTAAAAATGGCTGTGTACAATTAAACTAAATTTATTACGACTGTTGTGATTAAGGTGAAATTGAATGAAGTGTCGACTGAGTCATTACATTTAGACCTGCTCACGTCGAATCAAAGATTTCTTTGTTTTTGCACCATTATAACCAATTGCACACATGTTGAGTGCATTGATGCAATAGCCAAATTAGATTTGTTTACATAAGTCACTGGTTGAGAATAAAGCCACTGAAAATTATGCCAGTGTTGTGCTGAAAATTATGCCAGTGTGCAAATATTGCCACTTAAAGGGATAGTTCACCCAAAAATTAAAAAAATTCTGTCATTTGGTCACCTTGATGTTGTTCCAAACCTGTACGAGTTTCTTGTTGAACAGTTAATGGTTGCTATTGACTTCCATAGTACTTTTTTTTCCATACTATGGAGATCAATGGCTACCATCAACTCTTTGGTCACCAAAATCTTTTGTGTTCAAAAGAAGAAAGAAACCCATACAGAGATTTGGAATAACTTGAGGGTGATTAAATGACAAAATTATCATTTTTGGGTGAACTATCCCTTTAATAGAAATATAATTTCTGCGCCTGTTTCTGATTAATAACCTGGACTACTTGTGGATCTGAACTGAAGACAATGAACATTTCCAAATGATACCTGAGCTACACTTTAAAAGCACGTCTTGTCTTATCCGCCAGTTGTCGTGTGGTCTGGGTCATACTCTCCCAGATGTCCCGCACAAAAGTTACATTCAACTCCTCCAGCTGCCCAAACAGCAGGGCTCAGGGCCTCCGCTCAGATTTTAAGAGCTTTATTCCCAGCGAAAGCTCCACAAAGCAGCATGTTTGGCACCGAGCAGGGATTCCCATCCGCACACACACATTCCCTCTTTCTCCTGCTTCCACCCCTGGGCTGACCTGATACATTGTGTTCACCGTGGATTCGTTCCACCGTGTCTGCGGATAGTCTATGGAGATTTCCCATGTGCCAGGCAATCTACAGTGCGACGGATGACGAGGAATCCATTTTCTCATGCCTTTAGAGTAAGATCAATAATAAAAGAGCCTCCCTGGCATGATAAAGGCAGATGATATCCAGCGCCTCAACAGAAGGGGCCATAAAACACACGCACAACCGCACACACATTACCCTGGAGATCTGGAAAAATGGCAAAAAGGTCTCGTGGGTCCGAGCACGCCGGATGACGTAAAAGGCAGTTCAAAACAAAGCGCTTGACTTGATAAGGCAAAAACAGGCCAACATCAACCTCTCGGGACAATAACTGCTGTCAGTGCTTTATCATGATGGATAAATGATTCTGTAAGTTCTGAAATGACTTGAATGGTGACTGTGGCTCAAGCTCACTTTCACTGGATCTGTCTTTCATACAATGAATGTGAGCGTCACCACGTCATTCTGACTAACCCCTCCTTGTGTTTCTGTGACAAAGACATTTAAATGAGTTTTATGGTACAGAAATACTCTGGATTAATTAGTTACTAAAGTGACAAAAGGGCAAGACAGTTCAAATTAGACTCAGAAATATGGTTAAAATACATCTGGGATTGTTGTACAATAAATGTAAACATTAAAAATATACTGATGTTATTTCATCGCCAATACAAATGTATACTGCTTTTTGACACAATTGATGGGTTTCTAAAGAAAACCACCCAAAAACAGTATTTGCATGTGAAGTAACTTAAGTAATGTGTTGTTTAATTAAACCTTGTCAAGTGAGAAGTGCAGCTTATATTTGCAACTATTTAGATAACTACACAAATAACATTAAAGGGGTCATATGATGCGATTTCATTTTTTCCTTTCTCTTTGGAGTGTTACAAGCTCTTGGTGCATAAAGAAGATCTGTAAAGTTGTAAAGACTAAAGTCTCAAATCCAAAGAGATATTCTTTATAAAAGTTCAGAGTTAGCCACACCTACCTAAAACGGCTCGTTCGAACACGCCCCCACATATCTACCACACTATGTGGGAAGATTTGCATAACACCGCCCAAATGTTCACACAAAGAAGGAGAAACAATAATGTACAGTATGTGGAAAATAATGTGTTTTTTTAACTTTAAACTGCATAAACACATTTCATTACACCAAATACACAAAATAATGTTCTTTTTAGCAGCATCATATGACCCCTTTAATAGAAAAAAAAAAAAAGATTGGTAAACATTGCTTTTTTATGATTTATACACTACTTTTAAGTGTCCAATAAGTGATTTGCAAAACCAGTTTTAATGGTTTTATTTCTGCATTTTGACACCAGAGCTCATGCCACTTTTAATGTCTGCAGATAAATGGCACCATTTGGTGTTTCTAAAGAAAACAACAACTGTATTTCCAGGTGAAGCAATTTATGTAATAATTTTAGATAATAAATAAGTTTAGATAATAACTCAACTTCTCTGTACTTATATTAGACATGAAAATACATTTGCAACCATACAGATTTCAAAACAACTCGGCATAAATATAATTGCCTAAATAACAATAACAGTAATAACGAAAATATTGATAAACATTGCATTATGACATACACAAGTGTCCAACAAATGAGCAGCACAGATATTAAGTTCTGCTTTTTGAAAAAAGAAAAAAAAAACGAAGTAAACAGTAAATAAATAACCATAATACTATACAATGTCTTATGAATATAATGATTTTTGTACTTTTTTGATGGTTACATGTAGGCATGGGCCGGTATGAGATTCTGATGGTATGATAACCTTAGATAAAAATATCACGGTTGTCACTTCAGTGAGCATAAACCTGCAACTCAACAATAATCAGAACATAAATAAATTATTTTCTGTAAAAAAAAATCCCTATAAATGAAAGAAAAAAAGGACTCACTTAAGTGAGCCTAAACCTGCAGCTCAATAATCAAAAATATAAATCAAAACAATTTCTGTAAAAACAAAAATAAAAAAATTAATAAAGAATGCAATCATTAAACCTGCAGCTCAACAAGGTTTTTGGAGACATGCTCACT